CACTGAGGGTTGCGATCCGTTGCCGGACACGGAAAAAGACAAAAAAGACAAAAAAAAAATGTGAAGATAATACTTGTCTGTTTAGTTTATTAGTGAACAGGTAATTTATCTATATTAAGGTTAATAACCTCAATGTTACAATCTAAAAGTTCTGTGCCATGGCTAGCTTTCATTGAAAAGGAAAGTTTGATGAGAGACAGTGTGCACAGTGGCTGAGGAATCAGACAGTGGTCAGTTGAGCCACTTACTAATTGTGTCACTCTGGGCAAGTTTTATAATCCCTTTGTTCCTCGATTTCCTCATCTGGAAACAAGAAAGAGATGCTAATGTCTACTTCATAACACTAGTTATTATGACACTTAGATACTAGTGTCTACTTAATAAGATTGTTTTGAGGATTCAATGAGTTAGTATGTGAAAGTGCTCAGTTTTCAGATTTAAAGTATAGGATTACAAGTTTACAATAGGTTTCTACTCCAACAAATTTTCATATGGTAACATTTCTGCTGGATACATAAAGAATTAATCTAGCAACTAACTATCCCGTCTAAAGTATAAACAGAAAAAATTCAATAAATTGCAAAATACTCTATCTTGCTTCAGATTTAAGTAAATATACAAAGACATTTGAGATATGGCCATTACATATACGTACATGATACAGATAAATGCTTAAGGTCTAAAAATAATAAACTCAAACAAACAGGCTAAGTGGCTAGTAAATTATTTAACAACTTCTACATTGTCATCTCAATAGCTTTCATACTCTTTCTGTGTCCACTTTCTTTTATGTATCTATTACTTCTAAAGTAAACCACCTATTTCCTATTTATTATTAGTTTTCTAGGAAATTTGATACTGAACTTTGTGTGTTTTGTGTGCATAGCACGTATATTGTTCTACATAGAAAAGAACTAAAAAGTAGAAAAGTAAAATTGATAGTTATGAGTGACTCAGAACTTTTGTGGATTTTATAATTGGCTGTATGAAGTATTAAGTTCTGCAATTATAAGCAAAAATGCTCTAAATTGTTTTTAAAAATAATTTTGTCACATAGGAACATTTAGCTCATTTCCTTTTAAGTTTCTACAATTCTGCTTGAATTAAGAAGAGCTGCCATTTACCATATAATTCACTTTTTTATATTTTCAAAATAGTTCATTTACTATTATTTTAAGTTGTTTTCAGGTGGGTTTTAATTTATTGTAAAAATAGCCCACTATCCAGTAGGATACTGCTACAGACTGAATGTGTGTTCCCCTCAAAATTCATATCTTGAAATCTAATTCACTATGTGATGGTATTTAAAGGTAGGGCCTCTGGGAGGTGATTAGGTCTTGAAGGTGGAGTCCTCATAAATGGGACAAGTGTCCTTATAAAAGAGGTGCCAGAGAGCTCTTTTGCCCCTTCTGCCATGTGAGAACACAGTTAAGAGGATAGCCATCTGTGAACCAAGATGCAGGCCCTCACTAGACACCAAATCTACTGGTACCTTAATCTTGGATTTTCCAGCCTCCACAATTGTGAGAAATAAATTTCTGCTGTTTACAAGCCACCCAGTTTATCGTATTTTGTTATAGCAGCATGAATGCTGAGTCTCAAGTTGAGAACTCAGTAGCCACAAGTTTCTAACTTTTATTAAGCCTCTCAAAAATTCAAATAATACTGAAAATATGAAAAGTTGGCAATTACTCTACCACACAGCATTATTTGCTTACAATAATCAATTTCAATTGAAGACATAGCTTATTAGATTTATACTGAATTAAGACTTTTCAATGTTAAAATAATACTGCTAAAAACTATACTAAAATTAGTCACCTTTGTAATTTCTTTTTTGAGGAAAATAAAACTTTGAAAAATTAAATCTGGACATACCTCTAACATTAATTGGGTAAACTCTTCATTGCTAAGGAATGTAGGTTTCCAGTCCTGTCGAATTTCACTAGCATCTGACTGTGCAGTGATTTCTGTAAACAGATTGACACATTAGTGGCAGACTCTAACCACCAGCAGAATACAAAGTCCTAAAAGTTGCCTTCTCTCTTCCCACTCTAATTAATGAGAACATCTATTGGTCTAGATATCAGGATGTCAGGTTTTGGTATGAAAAAAATATTTCGGTTAATGTGGCAAGTTATCTTCTTGGATTCAGTCTCTTGTCTTGAAATTATCTTCTTGGATTTGGTTTTTGCCTGGGGAGCTTTGATAGCCTGTGCTGGTGATATGTCTGAAATTGCTTCCTGCTTAATGCAATGACCAAAAAAGAATCTAAACAAGCAGATTAGATCAAGTTCGTTCCAAGCATTTTGAAGAAATTCTTTTTTCCATTTCCTTTCCTTGCCATTCAAATGTAATATCTATAGCAGAAAGTGAAACTGGAAAAAAGGAGCCAAGGAGGTCAGTCGTCTGCTTCTAACAAGGAAGATTTTAGGCCTGCATACTGCCAGGCAAAAAAGATTACTTCTAATCCTGAGTGCTCTATCTTAATTCATCAAGGAGACTAAATAAAGATTTTAGACAAAAATTTTATAATAATATTCCCAGAGTGATGTTGTTTAATGTCCTCTTTGCACATGATTTTAGTGGTAGTGTGTTGTTCAAAAATTTGGAGATCCCTGGCTTGGGACACATATTTTGTAACAAATTATTACTATTTTATTTTGCTACATACTTCCAATAGTTTCAGTTATGAGTAAGCTATTCATAAATGATAAAGTCTGTACTGTTTAGGTAATAAATATTTTTTCATTTTTAAATGCAGGCATATTAAAACAACCAGGCAGAAAAAAACCTATGTCATAGATTATATTCTACAAAATATACTCTACTTTGTAATGAAAAGTATGGATTAAGTTGTTTTGATTTTTTTATTATCAGATATCTAAATACAGAGTATTAGATTGTCACCTAAAATTTGGCATATTAGAAATGCCTGTACTGGTATATGAAGAGCAACTAAGAAGTACAGCTACTAATTCTGTGAAATATGGTCATGCTTTTCAAATTTACATCAATTATAAACAATTAGGGAAAAAGATTTAAATCCACAAGCAAAACCAATCAAGTTTAGTTAAAGATAGGCCTATTCTAGAGTGATAAGTATACAAGAATTCCTTTTAAATTTAACATAAATTTTATTTTTGTGAGAATTATATATCTAATTTTGAAAAAAAAAAAAAAACTGATCTACTTAATGCCCAAAATAATCCTTTATTGTCAGAGGGAAATACATGCATTTTATTTCATTTCATTCAACAATCATTTATTGAACTCCTACAATGTCTAAGGGACTGGTTTCAATGAGTGTGCCATCTAACAAGGGGCATGAGGTTAGTGAGAATACTACTTGTAGAGGTAAAATGTGATGATAATGGTGGCAATAAAAATGAAGATAAGCAATTTTGACACATTTACAAAGAATCAACAGAATTTGGCAACTGTGATATGATACTAACGAAATGGGGAAAAAATGCAAAAGTCTTTCCAAGTATGAGTCCCATGTGACTAAAAGGATGGTGGTATAAAAACAAAAAGGAAAGTTAAGAGAAAGAGGTGACTTGATAAAATGAAAACAAATTCAATTTTACATGCAATGAATTTGAAGACATGCAAAAAAAAATCTAGAAGTTATCTGAAGATACAAAGCTGAAAAGTCTGCATCTAAAAATGTTTGGTAGTTTAACAGAGATGCAATCATGGAAGCTATGGAGTGAGATAACCAAGAGTGTAGAGAAAGCAAGAGCACAAGGAAGGATAAGACCTTGAGAAATGTAACATTTAGAGGGCAGAAAAAGAAAGAAGGAAGTTAGTTTTAGTTAGGAAAGGGGAGGTGAAAGCAAAAAAAAAAAAAAAAGTGCAGTATAATGGAAGCCAAGGGAAAAGAAAGCCAATGGAGGATGGATTAAAATTTCCAGTGCTACAGCAAAGCAGAAGAGAATGAGGTATAACAAAAAGCCATTGATTTGTTGGGGGGTAGGTCTCACGTTATTAGTGAAATTAACAAAAATAACTTCAAAGAGTGGTGGAGCATAAACCTGTCTGGTAATGCACTACCAAGTCAGCTAGGGAAAAGTAAATAGAGACACTAGTTATTAACCCTCCTTCTGAAAAGTTCTGCAGTTTCATCTGCATCTGAAAAAGGAAATGTCCTTTCACAGGTTTTTAAATGTATTATCTTTGTACCAAAATACTTAATATTCTTTAAACTTTCTTTTCATTACTCATTTAGTCAAGGTGATTTTCTTCAATTAATCAATATACTTTGCTTTAAAACACAGTGTTTTTTTCCTTGACATTAAAACGATCTTTTAAAATGACATGTAAAGTCCTTATACTAGTGTAATCTCGCTCTTTCCTTTCTTTCAAATATACCCATAACTTTCCAAACAAAAATGCTCCAGTTACAATGAAGTCTCCTTGCTTCTGTGCTTTTCACACATGCTATTTCCTCTGTACAAAATGCTGTTTTCCTTACTTATTCTAAAAGGAAGACTTGGTTGAAAAACAAACTACTTTTAAGCCTCCCCTGACATATTCTTTCCTCACTACAAATTTACAGTTTATAAGCACTACTCACATTATAATTATTTGTATTGTAATTATTTGTTTACATGTTCGTTGAAAGCCAGGAATGTTACCCTGCATCATCAGGATACAGTAGGCAGTAAAATAAATGTTTGTTGAATGAAAAAACATACTAGGAAACTTTTTAAAAGGCAACTGATTTTTCTCTCAAAAAAGCTGAGTAAGCATCTAATCTTAAATTTTTGCCAAGACTCTAACTCATTATGCTTCCACAGACAGTCTATTAAAAAAAGGACTACCCATTTTACAAAGTTAAAAATTTACCTTTATGTTTTCGTAAGAAATCAATACTCTTCTGCAGAACAGTAGATTTGTCCATCTTTCTAGCATTACCAGGGAGCATGGATCCCAGTTCTTTAATGAGAATATTAAATTGATCTCTTCGTTTCTTTTCGGATTTGTTTCTAGATACTCTGATGAAATAAGAAATTAAATAAGCAGTTTTTAAACAATCCATTTAATTACACAAATAGTTTAATACAATGTTCAATTTGGACTCAATAACACAGTGTGCACTTCTGTCAATATAAATATTTCCTAGGTTAACAACAACACGCAGTTAATATGGGCAATAATTTTTCATCTCAATTTATCACTAGAGATGCTTTTACATATCAAGCATTTGACATACATGTTTTTATGAAAATGCCAATAAGACAAACTGTATTCAACTGCAATTTTTACCAAGGATTATAAACTTATAAGGTTTTTATAAATATTAATGATATACATTATATATAAAATACATATAATGTGCAAATACAAATTATTAGAAATTATTACTTATAGACGTAAGTATTAAATCATAAACAGAAATCTACAAATGAAACTCCCCCTACCCTCAGGCTTACTCACTAATTCTGCTTTTAAACTCCTACATCCCAACCTCCAATACAGAGCTGTAACCATTTGTCTGCATATCTATCTCTCTATTAGGATGTGGGCACCCTGATATTAAAGCCCGAATTTTTTCAGCTAAGCTCATAAGCATAACATCTAACAAACAGCAAGCACTCAAAATACGTGTGCTAAAGGAATAATTACTGCTATTCTATGTGAAGCAATAAGCAGTAGAGTTCTTGAGACAAACCCAATTATTTATAAAGCAATTAATCATTTTATAATATCTCTAACAATCTGCTTTGTGAAGTCAAATTTTCTAAATCAGTTTATGTTTAAGCAAAGCATAATACTTCTCAAAAAAAGCCAGCAAATAATTTTATTTAATCTATAAACTGTATTCTAAGCTTTTCACCTTGCTAATATATCAAATTCTTTAAACAGATAGCTTTTGGGAATCATTAATTTACTATTTATTTACTATTATACTTATTGGTTATTCATTTATTTACTATTTTACATTTCAAGATGAACTACCTTTTTGCTTTGTCCTTGTCATCTTCTTCCACCAGCCCATCAAAAATACTACTATCATCTCTAAAAGAAAAAAGAAAGCGGACAGAGAAAATTAAGAGAGCAGACTCACTAAGCAACAACAATACTAAAATGACATGTGAATCAACTCAGTTATATTCCTAGGATTTTTGTAAAGTTAATGGATCACACAAATTCATACTAGCCTGTTTTGTAATAATTATTACAAAACTTAACCATAATTATGTTTTAAAAGTTAATTACATATATGAATTTTAAAGTATTAAAACTTAGCTATACTACATATACAATAACATGCTAAACAAGAACTTAATTTAACCAGCTTAGGTATCTTGTTTCAAACTTTTGTATAACCAGTGAAAACCTACAGAAAGTAATGCATTTGCCATTACATAAAATTATCTACAAGATTACTTCCACTAACTATAGTAGCATAATTTAAAATTTTTTTGAGACATTCACTTTATAAAACCACAAGTTAAAACATTATTAGCACATTAACTTATATTAATACATAAGTTATATATTAACACATAACTTAATACATTTTCATTTATTTACTGATTCATTAGACAACTATTTGTTAGCATTCATGTGCCAGGCTCTGTTCTAGATGTGGTTACAGAGCAGTGAACAAGCCATATAGCTACTCTCCTATAGCTTATTTTCTAATAGAAAGAAACAAACTTTAAAATGTGTGATAATAAGTTTTTTTTTTTTTAAGGAGTCAAGTTAAAACATTATTAGCACATTAACTTATATTAATACATAAGTTATATATTAACACATAACTTAATACATTTTCATTTATTTACTGATTCATTAGACAACTATTTGTTAGCATTCATGTGCCAGGCTCTGTTCTAGATGTGGTTACAGAGCAGTGAACAAGCCATATAGCTACTCTCCTATAGCTTATTTTCTAATAGAAAGAAACAAACTTTAAAATGTGTGATAATAAGTTTTTTTTTTTTTAAGGAGTCAAGTTAAAACATTATTAGCACATTAACTTATATTAATACATAAGTTATATATTAACACATAACTTAATACATTTTCATTTATTTACTGATTCATTAGACAACTATTTGTTAGCATTCATGTGCCAGGCTCTGTTCTAGATGTGGTTACAGAGCAGTGAACAAGCCATATAGCTACTCTCCTATAGCTTATTTTCTAATAGAAAGAAACAAACTTTAAAATGTGTGATAATAAGTTTTTTTTTTTTTTAAAGGAGTCATGTTTTAGTGGTTAGAGATGTGGACATTTAAGCTGAGATCTAAGTGACAAGAAGGGGCTGGCTATGGGAAGATCTAGCAGAACAACATTCTACATGAAATTAAGAGCAGTGGTGGCTAACTCCTAAGGAGTTATAGTAAACTAAGAAGCAATTAAACAGTTTCCAGTGATTTAAGAACTTTTACATGAATTCACTATTCACTCCTTTAGCCACACCTTTCTGTGAATTATAGAGGCCTACAGACTACAAAGTGCCTGCTGGATTCACTATTGAAATAATCTGCAAATGTTGTATCATGGAGGTTTATAGAGACTTTTAGGACTCCATGTATGCCCTGAAATTTATGAAAAATTCTGTGTGCACATGCATTTTTTCTGAGGAGAGAATCCATAACTTTCATAATATTCAGAGTGATAAGAAACCCGTATTAATAACCACTGCTTTATGTCTGAACATACAAATGTCATCCCTAGATGTCATACTGTCTAGAACGGGAATTGGCAATCATTCAGAACCATAATGTCAAAATCATATTTAATCTCTCAGGGACAGTTAAAAATATCCTTTCTGGAAGACTATTTATAGATCCCATCTGCAACCATGGCATAGTCCAAAGCTATGTACATGGTGCAAGAAGGCTTCACTAAGGAAATTCCTTGCCCCTCAGCTCTTATGTTCTGGTAGAGAATATATCTTCACTATTGAGTTCAGAGAAAGGTAAGGAGGACTACCCCCAGATGTCAAGTGTCACTTGTGTGTACTCTTAAAGAATTCCCTATGGACGAATCACACAATACAGTATAATAAAAAGCACTGTAACTTTAGTGTCAGACAGACCAACACAAGTCAAAACTCCAGCTTGTCACTTATTAGCTATGCAACATTCAACAAGTTATTTAACCCCTCTGACCTACGGTTTCCTCATCTGTGAAACCTTACAAAATTATGATGACATTAAATGAAATAACATATAAAAAGTACTCTGTACATTAGCAGCTGTCAAAGAGCAGGTACTTAAAAAATGTTACTATATAGCATCAAATTTAAGACATCATTGACTATAAGACTCATCATTATTTTGTGTCCTCCTAAGAAAGAAAAAAAATACTACCAATTAAATTATGATAAGCCAATGGTAAGGCCCATCGAATGTCAGAGATGTAAAAAAAGTAAACAACAAAAAAAACTTAAGAGTCTTAGAATTAAAAAAATAAGGAGGTTTACTCTTTTCCCAAGAGTAAGATTTAAAGATTACAATTTCAGCTAATGAAATCCTAATTATAGTTACTCCTTATCAGTAACAGATGCTAACATGCTTGAAGGGATGAAGTTAGCACCGAGACAAGGAGAAAAAGGACTTACAAGGTGCCAAGGAAACATGTGCAATTGTTTCAATTTCTTTCAGAGCAACTCTGACCAAATCACTCAGAATTATTGCTGAAGACCCATTTAAAACATAAGACGTGTTACTGACTTGACTTTAGAAAATACTGACATACCTTACTTATACCATATTTGTTCAGTATAGAAATTGTATAATTTTATATTAATATAATGTAATAGTAATTATGTTTAAGCATACAAGCTCCTTTTATCAATATGATATAGGCCATTATTCTAATAGTGAATTTTTAAATAGCTTCACATAATTCAAAATAAAAGAGTCTCTGAAAACATACCTGTCAACAATTGAGCTCATTTTACTACAGCTTACGGTAAACAACATAACATATTACGTTTTCGTCTTGTGGTAGACATTTGTACTTCTCCTTGGGTGAAAAGAAACATAAATGGTCATTAGTTTTCTAAAAAATTTCTACAAACAAAGTTACCTTAAGGAATACTATATGTTATCAGAGATACTTCAAAATAGTTTGTTTGTATCAAAGGCTGGAACATGATTTTCAAGCAAATACCTACTGCAGGCGCAGATTGGAGGCTTCCCCCCGCCCCCTTCTAAATAAGGACTATAGGAAAAACATCATAAATCACTTTGTTTTTACGTTAAGATAATCAAAAAGGCCACTCAATATTCAGTATATATATTTGGCTATGTGGCTGCAATGACAGCATCTAATTGGCAATAAATATTTGTCAAAAGTCTATTTTCTGCTAAACAGTATGGCAGGCTTTGGGTATATAAGAATAAATGACACAGTCCCTGTAGGCAAAAATTTGCAATTCAGCAGGGAGAAAGATATCCAAATAGTTATAATAAAGTAGTATAATGAAGATATATACTATGTAATGACATGACTGGGAAAGGAACAATTAAATGTACCCATGAGAATTAGAGGGAGGAGGCAGAGAAGATATCCTTAATGACAATAAGTGTGACAAGCAATCAAGATTCTTGTTACTAAAAATATGGTCCAGAAGCCAGCAGCATCGGTCTCCTCTGAGAGCTTGCTAAAAGGCAAAATTTTGGGTACCACCCCAGTCCTACTGAATCAGAATCTACATTTTCACAAACAAGGTCCCTATGTGATTTGTATGACGATTTAAGTTTGAGAAGCAACAGATTAGAGGACGGGAAGAGGTAACAGTTAAAAGGATTCTAAGCCACAGGAATGGCAATCTGCAAAGGCACAGGCCTACGTCAGATGGAAGAACATTATACTGAGAAACTCAATAGGTTTAGCATTTTCCTTACAGAAAAATCTAGGCGTGATACAATTTAGTTTCAATTACTAGAGGATAAAGTGAGAATAGGAGTAGGAGAAGGCAAGTCAAGTAGAGAAGAGCCTTATTATAAAGAGTCTCATATCCACACTGAAGGAATTAAAACTTACTGCTTTAAAACTCAATCACAAGCCTAAAATATGGCTCTCTGTATTCAAGATAGTCTTTCTAAAAGTATAAGGCAGGTTTTATCTATGCAAGATTCTTATGTCCTATAATCATGAGTTAAATATTGAATAACCACCTTAATTCTAATAAACACCCTAAAAGTTTTGAGATATAAGAACTTCTACTTTAACTATTATCTCATTTAAAATTTAGAAAATAATGTAAATTAATGTGTAACTCTAAATAAACTAGAGAGGATTGAAGGTATTATAGGAGCGTGAGATTCTAAAAGATTCTGTCACTGTTTTCAAATGTACCTTCATGAGAGAAAAAGAGAATAACCCTTGATAAATGATGTTGCATTATGTATGTGGCTTTGGCTACAGAAGCGGGACTGTGAAGGGCTAAAAATTCTTAAAAGAAAGTGAGTGAGGGAGTCAGAGGTAAAAATAGAAAGGACTACCAGGATAAAATACTGTGATTTTAAGTGTCTGTGATAACATAAGCAGATGGAACACAGAATTAGAGAATTTTAGAGTTAGAAGAGAATTCAAAGATCACCTAAATACATCCCTCTGGTCCAGACATACTTACTGTCTGGTAATAACAGGTTGATTCTATCACTAAAACAAACAAACAAAAAACAGTGCAAAGGTAACAGCCGATTTGGGTAAATTCAAAAAGAACAGTTTCAGTTTAAAGGGTAAAAGGCAAGACCTAAGCCTTATATGGCACCCAGGCAAGCCATTCACTATGTTTGTTTAATTATTAAAAGGTAGAAAATAGGACAAACACTCCCCCCCCCCCCAAGAAAAGAAGGACCTCAAGAATTAGGGCTATAGGAAGGGCCTTGCTGAATATAAGAAGAGTGAGTCCAAAATGATTTAGAAGATATGGACTGATGCTTTATTAGGCTGTTTTGCTATTGTTAACAATATTCTTCCAAAAATTATTTCTTGTCCAACTAACAGAACAACATAAGAATATATCCGTAACAGTCTAGCTCAAGATCTCTTCTCTACTTTTCTAGCCAATTAATACTTAAGGAAAAGGTAAAAGAGGAAGTGAAATAGGCCCCACTGAGTACCCTGGATCAATTGTTGGAAGGAGATTCCCCTTAACTTCTTTAAATGGTGTCAAATTAACTTTAACAAAACCAAGCGGTAATGGGGAAATAGCCAAAACATTTTGTTTGGGGACTACCCTAGGACCCACACTTTCAATCCAAAAAGACTAGCTAGAGTCACACTTGCCCAAGCTATGAAATTCTAAGAAGGATTCAGTTTCAGATGCCACACCATGTCCCACACAAGCTGAGGAGGAATTTCAAATATATAATCTACTAATATATAATAAGTTTTGCTATTAACAGTTACTTTTTTAAAGTTTGACATTAAAAGGCCAGAATGATTTGCAATAATATGTCTTTGAAAGTACAAGTTGCAGTTACTGGAATCCAAAGTTCACAAATTATAAAGGATTAAGTCACAGCTAGGAATCAAATGCTCCTTTAAGTTGTTTAAGCTCAAAGTCATTCAGTGACAGGACTTCCCAGCTGAGCATATTATGACATTATGACAGGGGACAATGATGACCTGAGTCTTTTATAAACACCATTTTAAAACCTAGCATAAAAAATATTTATCAAATGGGGAGATATTAGTACCTAAGAAACTTTAAAAACAATTCAAATTTTGCCAAATACAGAGCAGGTATGTTTTTAATTCAGAATGCAGTACTACACATAATTATAGAAAATCTCAGTATCTGGCAGTCTATCTTCCAAACAGAACCCATACTCAAAATACAACACATCCTGTATTAATAATACTGTATTAATAATCCTGTACTGATAATAATAAACTGTGCAGTCTCAATGACATACTACTTGTTTTCTGAGCTGTCTGCTGCTAACTTGAAGGGTTTCCACTCCTACACATCATTAACTTCTCCCTATATACCTGGATTATTCTGATAAACATAGTAACACATCTTAGTATCTCTTTCCTTGAAAACAAACCAAACCCAAAAAACTCTCCTGACCCAATAACCCCTTTAAACTACTGCCTAACTTTTCTGCTCCCTTTCCCAGAAAAACTGCTTGTCAGAGTTGTGTACAGTTGCTGTTTTAATGTCCTCACTTTCATTCTTCCTCTTATTTTACAAGTTAGTGTTTATTTTTACCGATGTATAAATGTACAAAGTTTAAACAGCACAGTTTCACGAGACTTACTTAAAAATCAGAAGTCCTCCGTCCTCTGACCCCCATTTTCTACTTTCAACCACTTTCCTCTATTCAACTGTTTGTTTTGGTATTTAATTCCCTGTCTTTAATATCTTTTATTTTGTGACTTCTTGATTCTTTCAGTTTAGGCAGGGTGCCAAGACAGTCCCAATTTATTTGCATTGACCCAATGTAATACCTGTCTCTTTTTGACCTCAAAAATGTCTTGTTTTTTAGACACCATCTATTGAATTCAACTAAGAAAAGTAAGATTTTAGCTCTATTTGATTCCCCCATCCTTACCTAATACACATGCACACTTCCCCAATTTCCCAATATACAATTTTGGTTAGGTCGTTATAATTGAAGTTAAGATTATTACGACTCTGTAAATACAATTTACAACTGAGCCATACAGCCTACTACAATTACTTTCCCTTTCTAAGCAGTTTTCCCAGAGTTAATAATTGTTTTATTTTACTGTTCATCTGGTTTTGTGGCATACTTATTACCAATTTAGCTCCAAACTCTTTCCTGCCTAAATCTGTATCTTCAAATACATTACACATTCTACCAATTTCACCTTCTAACAGCTATTTCTCTTGGAACCTTCTAACCTGCTCCCATAGGGACTGGATGATATCTACTACACCTGGTGACAAGCTGTCATCTTGTGATCGCTATTCACCATCATCCTTGTGATTCCTTGGATCTCTAATTAAGTTACATTCCCTATTACTTGTATCCTATGCCTTCACCTTTTTTACTTTATTTTTGTTGAATACCTCCTCCAATAACTGCCTAAGAAAGGGGACGTGGCAGCTAAATTTTTTAAGACCTCACAAATCTGAAACCGTCATAATCTATACTTAAACAATAGTTTAGTTGAATACTGAACACTGGGTTAGAAATCATTTTTCCCTCAGAATTCTGAAGGCTCCACTGTCTTCTAGTGTCCCATGGAGTGTCAAGAAGTTCAAAGCCATTCTGATTACTGACCCTTTATATGTGAACTATTATTTCTTTTACTCTGGATGCTCCCGTGTTCACAAATTTAATAGTCGTGTGCCCCATTGTGGATTTACTCTAAAAGCTGTATTGGTCACTCAATAGGCTCCTTCTAACTGGAAACTTATGCCCTCTAATTCTTGAGAGTTTTCTTGAATCATTCACCATTCTTTGTCTCTCTCTTCTGTCTCCTCTATTCTCTCTTTCTGGAATTCCATTATTTGAACATTGGAGATCCTGGCCATTTCCTTTATTTTCTTATTTTTTCTCTCATTTTCCATCTCTTTGTCTCTCTGCTTTACTTTCAATACATCAATTTTATTTTTTGACCCTTTCATTGCATTTCATTTCTAATTTCATTTCTTATTGTATCTCAACGTTTCATAGATGTAGCATCTCCTTTTACCTTTCTGAAACTATTAAATGATAGTTTTGTGTTTGTTTTGATTTTTACCTGCTTATCTGGTCTCCATTTCCCCTTTTGATTTGGTCTTTGTCTCTCACATAAGAGGTTTTCCTCAGATGTCTAGTGATCTCTGGCTTAGTGATGTCAGGTTCATATGTAAGGGTGAGGCACTAAAAAGATCACTGAAAGCCCTGTGTGAAAGGGCTTGTTAAATGTAAACTTTACTGTAGGGGTATCAAGTTGGAATATTTCTCTGGGGAATTCTCAGTGTCAGTATCTTCAGATCTTTTCTCTTAGGCCAGTTATAATTCGCAGAAAAGAATCTCCTCAATGCTTTCTTGAGAGTATAAAAACTTAGTAGCTTGGATTCTTCATACCCTGTTTTCAATATGTTATCCCCATTGTCAACTGTTTGTTGCTCTTTTATTTTATCCGTGTTAGAAAATAAATCTCCAGACTTCTGCTAAGATAGGGAAGGGGCAGCTGCCCCAGTTCCAAAGTTAGGAAAAGTATTGATGGAGTGTAATTACCTCTTAAATATATTTGCAATGAATCATCCTGTTTTATGCCCACCATCATTGCTATTTCCAGAAATAAAGAGTGCTTTTAATGCCTGAAAATTTTAGACATTCTATAATGCCATGAAGTTTGTTTCTCAGTTTTCCCACAGCTGGCTTAGGATTTAGGATCTGAAAAAAAACAAAATTACCACACTTCCTTTTGCTTTTCAGGTTCCAAAATTTTGTTGCTATTGCTTCCTCTTCCATTCTCCTTGTTCTTGTGAAGTTATGTCTTCTGTAAAAATTCTTTTACTTTAGCTTTAATGAATTTGCAAGAGGAAATGAATTTTAACTGTATTCTCTGCCATCTCTAACTGGAAGTCCCCTGTTCTCTCTCTCCATCACTCTTAATTAGCTTTCACTACTCCACTGAGATTGCTTACTCTTACTGGAATTACCAGAAACATTCATGTTGCCAAATCTAATAGCTGCTTCACTCTATTCCCTATTTGACCTCTTAGTGACATGTGATACAGATAACCACTTTTGCATTTTTAAACACTTTCTTTTTGTGGTTTCTGTAACAGAACACTTTCCTACTTTTCCATTCATCTCACTGGCTGCTTTCTCTCCCCTGATTAATACTGGCATGTGTCAGGGCTGAATCCTTCTCAATCTTTGTTTACTTCCTAGATAATTTCAACTAGACATATGACACTAAGTACCTCTATACGCCAATGACTCCCAAATCCACACCCTTAGACCAGATTATCAGTTACAGAGTCATAATAAACAACTGTCTTTTTGAAATTTCTACAGATTTTACAGGTGTCTGAAACAGCACCTAGCCAAAACAGAAAACTTGACTTTCTTCTGTAAATCTGCTTCTCTCCCAGTTTTCTTTTCTAACCCAATCTCTGTATATTCTCGCCATCGCTTACTATACTCCAGGTCATATTTACTCTGTCTGTTCCTCAAGCATTCCACAGTCATTTGTGTTCCCACTGCTTGTAAAGCTCTTCTCTCAGATCTTCACATGGCTGGCATCTTCTTGTCATTCAGATTGCAACTAAAATGCCCCTTTGTCAATGAAGCATTCTCTTACTACCTAATACGAACAGTCACCAGTCTGTATCACATTATCCATTTTAATTCTCTGCATAGTACTAACTACTAGCCACATATTTCACATTTGTTTTTTATTTTTCTTCCTCTAGAATGCAATGTTTATGAGAGCAGGGATGGCTTCTGTCATATTCATCACTGTAATCCCAGTCTCTAAAATAATATCTGGACATAGCTGGTGCACAATAAATGTTTTGTGATAAATTAACACAAAAGGGAATTTTTTTTAAATAAAACTTTCCTCAAATTAGTACACCAAAATAGTTCATATATACATATATATTTTATTATTTTATAATTATATTATTATATTTGTATATATTTTACATATTTAAATATATATTATATATATGTCCATATATATATATATATATATATAAAATCTCATATATATATATATATATATATTATATATATATGTGTATATATATATATATATATATCCATGAACTATCATATATATATACATATATGGATTATATATATATAATATATATTTAAATATGTAAAATATTATATATATTATATGTGTAATATATATTTAAATATGTAAAATATATACAAATATAATATAATTATAAAATAATAAAATATATATGTATATATACATATATATATATGATTTTAGGAAAAACATCATCCCATGGTACATTCTAAGGTACACCTTTCTTTACCTTTTGTACTTTTTGGATCTTTTGAACTGATTCTTCAGAACACTATAGGTTCAAGGTATTCTTCTGTATGACCAATCATCAGTCTCAGAATTCTGTTTAAAAAAAAAAAATGCTAGATTTATTCAACTTATGTAAAAGTTTATCATAACAAATTTTTAAAAATAATTTTTGAATATAACAAAATTTAGAACTCTGTCAACAAAAATGTATATAAAACTTTAAATTTTACAAATTGTTTCTAAAAAATAAAACTTAAAAATCATAAATAAACTAAAACAATCACTTTTAATTCTGTACAGAAGTTAAAAGGCAAAAGTATAAAAAAACTATAACTGAAAATATGTTAATAAATACACTATATAAAGGGATATAATTTGTGAGAGCAAAAACATAAAATGGAGAGGGGGAGTAAAAGAGTAGAGTTTTGGTATTCAATTGAAGCTATTATCAACTTAAATTGATTATCATAACTATATTTTATTTAACCCTCATGATAACCATGAAGAAAATACTTACAGAGGATATGCGAAGGAAAATAAGAAAGGAGTCAAAGCCTAACAATACAAAAAAATGAACAAAAGACAAAGAAAGAAAGCAAGAAAGGAAAAGAGGGACAAAAAACTGTAAGACAGAATACAAGCTCTTCCTTATCAGTAATTACTTTAAATGTAAATGGATTAAACTCCCCAAACAAAAGACATGGAGTGGCTGACCAGATAAAAAAACAAGATCCAACCATATGCTTTCTTAAAGACACTCACTTCAGACTTAAAAGACACACGAAAGCTGAAAGTGAAAGTATGTAAAAAAGTATTGCATGCAAATGGTAACCAAAAGCCAGCACAAGTGGCCATACTTCTATCAGTCAAAATAGACTTTAAGTAAAACACTGTCTCAAGAGACAAGAACACTATATACAATAAAAGGGTTAATTCATTAGAAAAATATTGCTATTATAAATATATATGCACCCAACATCACAGCATCCAAATATATGAAGCAAACATCAACAGAACTGAAAGGAGAAATAGAGAGCAACAACAATAGCAACAGGAGATTTCATTACGTCTGTCTCAAAAATGGACATATCATCCAACATAAAATCAGTAAAGAGCGAGCAGACTTGAACACCATGTAGACCAAATGGACCTAACAAACATATAGAACATTCCAGCCAACAAAAGAATAAACATTATTCTTAAATGCACATAGAACATTCCTTAGCTACTAGGTCACAAAGCAAGTTTTAACAAATTTAAAGAGACTGAAATCATATCGAGCATCTTTTCAGACCACAATAAAATGAACACAGAAATCAAAATCAGAAGTAAAACTGGAAAATTCACAAGTGTAAAGACTGAACACCACGCTCTTGAAAAAACAAGGGGTCAAGGATGAAATCAAAAAGTAAATTAGAAAATATCTTGAGACAAATGAAAACACAACAAACCAAAACTTATGAGATGCAACAACAGCAGTATTAAGAGGGAAGTTCATACCAGGAAATGCCTATGTTAAAAATGAAGAAAAGGGCCAGCCCGTGGCTCACTCGGGAGAGTGCGGTGCTGATAACACAAAGGGCCCAGGTTCGGATCCCGTATAGGGATGGCCGGTTGGCTCGCTGGCTGAACGTGGTGCTGACAACACCGAGTCAAGGGTTAAGATCCCCTTACCGGTCATCTTTTAAAAAAAAAAAAAAATGAAGAAAAGGGCCAGCCCGTGGCTCACTCGGGAGAGTGCGGTGCAGATAACACAAAGGGCCCAGGTTCGGATCCCGTATAGGGATGGCCGGTTGGCTCGCTGGCTGAACGTGGTGCTGACAACACCGAGTCAAGGGTTAAGATCCCCTTACCGGTCATCTTTTAAAAAAAAAAAAAAAAAAAAATGAAGAAAAGATCACCCAGACAGAAAAGTAACCAAGAAACATCAAGAGTTAATATCCACTCCAGACTGATTAGACCTAACAAACATTTACAGAACATTTCATCCAACAGCAACAGAATACATGTCTTTTTGAGCAGCACATAGAACATTCTCTAGAATAGACCATATGTTAGGTCACAACAAATTTAAAAAACTGAAATCATACCAACTATTTTGTCTGGCCTCAACAGAATAAAACAGTGGAATAAAATCAGTAACAGAAGGGACATTAGAAGCTGCACAAAAACATGAAAATTAAACAACATGCTCCTAAATAATGAACGGGTCAAAGAAGAAATTAAAAAGAAAACTAAAAACCTCCTGGAGACAAACAAAAATAAAAATAAAACATACCAGAACCTAGGGGATACAGCAAAAGCAATTGTAAAAGGAAAGTTTAGAGCAACAAATGCCTACATCACAAAAGAAGGAAGACTTCAAATAAAAAACCTGACATTACACCTCAAGGAATTAGAGAAACAAGAATAAAATAAACCCAAAATTAGTAGAAGGAAAGAAATAAGAAAGATTCAGAGCAAAAATAAATGAATTAGAAACTAAAAAATCATATATTTGAGGAAACAAAGTGTTGGTTTTTAGAAAAGATAAAATTAATGAAAAAATTTAGCTAGACTAAGAAAGAAAAAAAGAGAGAAGACTCAAATAAATAAAATCAGAAAAAAGGAGACATTACAACTGAAACCAGAGAAATACAAACGATCATAAGAGACTACTTCAAACAACTAGATGCTAATAAATAAACCAGAAAACCTAAAAGAAATGGAGAAATTCCTGGACACATACAACTTACCAAGGTTGAATTGTAAAGAATTAGAAAACCTAAACAGACCAATAACAAGTAATGAGAATGAAGTAGTAATAAAAAAACTCCCAAAGAAAACCCTAATGCTAGACAGCTTCACTGCCGAATTCTGCCAAACATTTAAGGAAGAACCAATACCAATTTTTCTCAAACTCTTCTGAAAAATTATAGAGGAGGGAATACTTCCAAACTTATTCTATGTGTCTAGCATTACACTCATACCAAAGCTGGAAAAAGACACAGCAAAAAAAGAAAACTACAGACCATTACTCCTAATGAACACAGATGTGAAATTTCTCAGCAAAACACTAGTGACCCAAATCCAACAGCACATTAAAAAGATCATTCACCATGATCAAGTAGGATTCATTCCAGGAATGCAAGGATGGTTCAACAAACACAAACCACTAAATGTGATACATCACATAAACAGAATGAAGTGTAGGGGAGGGGACATAATCATTTCAAATGACACAGAAAAAGCATTTCATAAAATCCAATATTCCTTCATGATAAAAACACTCAACAAGTTAGGTATAGAAGGAACATACCTAACAAACCCGTAGCTAATATCATATTGAATGGCAAAAAACTGAAGGCTTTTCCTCCAAGATCTGGAACAAGACAAGGATGCCCACTTTCCCCACCCATAACAGCATAATACTGGAAATTTTAGCCTGTGCAGTAAGGCAAGAGAAAGAAATAATGGGGATCCAAATCGAAAGGAGAAAGTCCAACTATCCCTATTTGCAGATGACATGACCATATACATAGAAAACCCTAAAGACTCCACCAAAAAAATTACTAGAACTAATAAATGAATTCAGCAAAGTGGCAAGATACAAAATCAACGAACAAAAATCAACAGTATTCCTATAAATCAGTAACAAAGTATCTAAAGAAGAAATCAAGAAAGTAGCCCCATTCATAATAGCTACTGAAAAAATGAAATACCTAGGAGTAAATTTAACCAAGAAAGTGAAAGACATCTACAATTAAAAGTGTATAACATTGGTGAAAGAAATTCAAGAAGACACAAGTAAATGGCAAGACATCACCTATTCATGGATTGGAAGAATTAATATAATCAAAATATCCATATTACCCAAAGCAATCTACAGATTCAATGCAATCTCTATCAAAATACCAATGACATTCTTCACAGAAATAGAAAAACATCTTAAAATTTGTATGGAACCTATATAGACAAAGCAATCTTAAACAAAAAGAACAAAGTTGGAGGCATCACACTACCTGGTTTCAAAATATACTATACAGCTATAGCAAACAAAACAGCATGGCACTGGCATAAAAACAGAAAAATTGACTAGTGGAACAGAATAGAGAGCCCATGAAATACAGAAATACACCCATGCACATACAGCCAACTGATTTTCAACCAAGGCACCAAAACTATTAGTCAGGCACAGAAAGAGAAATACCACATGTTCTCACTTATTTGTGGGAGCTAAAAATAAATAAATAAAGGGCCGGCCCCCTGGCTCCCTTGGGAGAGTGCAGCGCTGTTAGCGCCAAGGCCACGTGTTCAGATCCTATATAGGGATGGCCAGTGCACTCACTGGCTGAGCGTGGTGCAGACAACACCATGCCGAGGGTTGCGATCCCCTTACTGGTCAATAAATAAATAAATAAATAAATACTCAAACAAGTGTGGGGGGTGTGTGTGTGAAAGAAGACACAACAATCACAATTTCTTGACTTATTAAGACAAGCAAACAGATATGATGTTGATGGGCAGGAAGGGGGACAGGAAGGGGGAGGAAGGATTCAGTAAAGGGACACAAAAATCAACTACACTGTATATTGATAAAATAAAATTAAAAATATATATATATATACATATATACACACTGGAGAAAGGACAGCCTCGTCGATAAATGTTGCTGGGAAAACTGGATATCCACAAGCAGAAGATTAAAAGTAGACTCCTATCTCTCACCATATAAAAAAATCAACTCAAGGGCCGGCCCAGTGGCACACTGGAGAGTGCGCCGCTTGGGAGTGCAGCGGCGCTCCCGCCGAGGGTTCGGATCCCATGTGGAGACCGGTTCCCACTCACTGGCTGAGCGCGGTGCGGGTGCAACACCGAGGGTTGCGAGCCCGTTGCCGGTCTCTGGTACGGGCGCGACACCGAGGGTTGCAATCCCGTTACCGGTCAGTAAAAAAAGACAAAAAGAAAAACAAAACAAAAAAAAAACCCTTTACCTCAAATTAACTTTCTGTTTTTCTACCTGAACATCTCAAATTTAACATGTTGTCCTGGAAGGGGGAGTGCCAGATTGGACACCGGGGGTTGCATGTTGCTGGGGGCCTGTGAGGAAGAAA